GCATGTATATAAGCAAAACCAATGAACATAAGACACTGGGGGGTAGGGGAGGCCAGAGGACTGTCAAGGGTGGGGGGAAAAAAAGGTCACATATGTAATACCCTTTGTAATACTTTAAGCAATAAAAAATAAATAAAAATAAATAAATAAATAAAAAGAAAAAAAAGTAAATACAGATGTAACAAGACAACAGAACACAGAACCTGGCTGGAGAACCTGGTGAGAACCTGGCTGGAGATCCTGGCTAGAGAACCTGGCTATGATGATCACCTGAACGCTGCCTCCGAGTCCTTCCTTCTTCGTGGACTCTGTCCAACACCTTTGGGAACCCCTGGACCTGCTGGGGCTGCACCCCAACACTTCAAGTCTATTATGCAACCAGCTGTCATTCCCTTTTTAAACCCCTTAAATGGCTTCTCATCTCACTTAAAATCCTTATCCCAAGAAGACGTGGCCCACAGTGTCCTTTCTGCTCTCATTTCCTGCCATTTCCTACCATCCCCTTCTTGCTCACTGTCATCTAGCCACCCTGCCTTCTGTGCAGTTCTTTAAACACAAGCCAACCACAGTCCTGACCTTTGCTCTTGCCATTCTCTTCCCCAGAACATTCTCCCCTTAGATATTGGTTTGACTTGCTGTCTTATATCCAGGACCCATATTTTCCATAAAGGGACAAAGAGTAAATATTTTAGGTTTTGTGGGCAATATCATTTGTGGCAATTACTCAACTCTACTGTGAGGGTGCCAAAGAAGCCATAGACAACCCATAAATGGATGGGTGTGGATGGGCTTCAGTAAATCTTTATTTTTGGACACTGAAATTTGAATTGTGTATAATTTCCACATATTTGGAAATAATTTTCTTTCAAAAATATTTTTCATTTTGATTATGTTAGCTCCTTCATCAGTTATCCTATCCATCTACAAAATTGACAACTTTTATGTCTTCATGCAAACCTTTCAGAGTAAAGCAGAGAAGGGGGCTGATCCACATGACTCCTCCAGGTGGCTGGAGCACCATTGATTCACCCTTGTGGCATAAATCCTGTAGGTGATGCTTTAGGTGAGGGTAATGGGGAAGTCCTCCACCCTAGAACAGGGAACAGAAGAAAGGAGGGGCTTCAGGTAATTCAACTAAATAGAACAGCTGAGACAGTCAAAGCACATTCTTAAACAGGGAAATGCCCAAGATTAATATTAATATGTGTCAATCACAAGGGCCTGGAATCCGCTGTGGAGAAACTAAGGAGAGTCCCTGAAGCAAATATGGGCCTTACTTACCCAGCCTTATGTCAAGCCTCCTAATAGGATATCACTGTTGAGAGTTGGCTATTTGAATTATCTAACAAACTCCCTTTGTCGTATCTGATTCCAGACTCATACAGACACACTCTAAAGATTCAGCTTCCCGTGTAGTGAATCCACAGGGACAGCATAGGCTGGTCAGATCAACTCCACTGTGTCACATTTCTCACTGAAAGTTAATAAAATAGTGTCTGTTCCAACAAAGTATACGTTCATCAGGGAAGTACAGAAACTATTAAATTCATACATTGGAGTACTGCTTAGCAGTAAAAATAGAACAAATAAACAAAAGGCACTTATTGAGATCACAACAAACAAGGACAAAATGAACAGAGGCTTGTTCACCCAACGGTGTTGAACTAGAATCAAGGGCTACCTCTTCCTGTTTGTGAGATAAATTTAGGAGAAATAAAGGACCCACCACAAGATAAAATGAAAATAAAACAATGTAAACGTGAGCAAAAACAAACGATCCCAATCCAAAGCCAGAAACAAAGTTCCTGCCCTCCAGCAGCACTGGATCCAGCAGTGGCGACTGAGACCCATTTAAGAAGTCTGGAGATAAGCTTCCCGATCACATGCTTCATTAAGTGAAGTTCTAGCATTATAAAAGATAAACAGTGTTTGCCTGAGTCAGCTCAGTGATATGGACGCCTTTTCTGCTGATGTAATTAGGGGACAGTAACCAGAGTATAGCTTTATTGAATTCTGCAAACACAGGAGGCAAAGGGGAGATGCCATTTTTTGAGCACTTAGTTAATAATATATGTTCAATAAATGGTCTTTTGATTACTTTTACCGTACTCTTACTAACCTTTCTAGTGTCTCCATAGTGATATAGATGCATTTGTTCAATGCATTTGTAAAATTTAATAAATAATTTTTTTGGTTATTATTATTAAATTTGACCTGAAACACTTATGTAGCACATATTCTGTGTTAGGCAGTGTCCTGGGTGTTTTATATGTGTTAATTTATTTAATTCTTACAATAACCCATCAGATAGGTGCTACTATCACTCCCATTTACAGATTAGAAAAGTAGGGGGTGGCACGGCTACTTTGCTCAAGATCAAGTAATTGGCAAGTGGTAGATCTAGGTTTTGAACCCAACATGTTTCGAAAGTCCTTGTGTTACTTGTCTCTACTTGGGATTGTCTTCATTAGAACTCTACATCAGCCTACTCAATCAGAATCTCGAGCAATAGGACTCTCAATCTTAGGTTTTTAAAAAAGTATATATATATTTTATTGATTTCAGAGAGGAAGATAGAGGGAGAGAGAGATAGAAACATCAATGATGAGAGAAAAGCATTGATCGGCTGCTTCCTGCACACCCCCTACTCGGGATTGAGACCACAACATGGGCATTTGCTCTTGACCAGAATCAAACCTGGGCCTCTTCAGTCCCCAGGCTGACTCTATCCAGTGAGCCAAACCAGCTAGGCCTTCATCTTAGATGTTAACAGGCTTTCCAGGTAAAGCTTCTACAAATTAGCCCAGCATCAGCCAATGGACTGACATGAAGGAACCAGAGCCCTAGGTTCCTCTTGCTTCCTGTTGCCACTGTTGATCAGGCAACCATCATGACGGAGTTATTGCCTGTGCATGTGCATCAATCCTTTAGAACGGGTATCAAAAGCTTGGAGAGAATCCCAGAGATAATAATGAAGCACTATTGTAGAAACTCTGCAACACTAATGCTTTTGATGGCACAGAGAATGATAGAGTGTGAAAAAAACAACCAACGTTGACACCTCTGAGGTGATGAGTGGTTCAGGAGAGTTGAAGTCTGAGTAAAAGTGAGTTGTTTTTTTAAATATACAAAAACTTTATTGAACTGTGCCTTATAATGAACATTCTAATCCAAAATTTCAGAAGCACTTCAGAAAGAATTGATCAATCAATATTCCAAATTCTCCACAACTCCATTTGTTCCCACACACCTTGCTCTTGAAGAAAAATGGGTGGGGGGAGGGGGGAGGGCGGAGGGGGGAAGAGAAAGACAAAACAAGTATTCAAATCACAGAAGTGTTTTTTTTTTTCCTGTGAATATTTATTGAACTCAAATTCTTGGGAAGAATTTATCAAAATTGCTCCTGCAGTTGGACCCCTGGCCCTGCTCCGCCGTGGGTGGGGCCAGATGTGAGCCCTGCTGCGTGGAGCCCTGAGGCCGCTGTGCAGGACCCGCCGGGGCTCAGTCCGGGAGCTTGCCGCCATATAGGTCGGCCCTGTCCAGCTGCAGCCCCCGGTTCACAGCGGTGTAGGAAGGCTCCGAGGTGCCCAGGGACTTGGGGCCGGCCTCCTGTGTTATCTGGGAGTCGTGTGTGATTTCCCCGTCAGAACCACCCATGTCCACGAGGCTCAGGACGACGGCACCGGCAAAGCTCAGGAGCAGGAAGAAGGGCAGGGAGCCCAGGATGGAAGTGAGGACGATCATACCGCCGCTCAGCCGGCCGGGCCACGTGTCAATCGCCAAGTACCGGGTGATCCGGTTGGTTCGGATTGGGTCCGACCACAGGGTCTGGTCCTGCACCAAGCCCGAGGACATACTGACAAGGACGTACTTGAACCTGTATTCCGTGGCCGCCGACAGGGGCGGGTTGTAGAGGCCCTGGAAGTTAGGGTCCCACAGGCAGGTCCCATTGTCGCCCACCCTGATCAGGTATGCATTCAGGATCTCCGAGGCCCGGGCCACATCCCCCACTGTGTCCAAGCTGGGCACGTCGCTGCAGGGGGTCAGCTCACAGACCCGGCCTTCCTCCTGCGGTCTGCTGGAACATGGAGCCGAGTGGGGTGTTGGCGCCGTCCTGCACGGAGGCGTTCCTGGAGCTGACGGAGTCTAGCAGGACGTAGAGGTAGATTTCCTAGGTGCTGTTGAGGGCCTCTGCGCTGTCAAACATGCAGAGCGGTTTCTCCAGGGCCACGGTGCTCAGGGTGGGGTTGTTGGTGGCAAAGGTCACACTGGCCAGCTGGGGCTGGAGGGTCACACCCAGGCACAAGCAGCCTAGGGCCAGCCAGGCCCGGAGTGAAGGCATCGCTCCGGACGAGACACGAAGGAGCGGGGCGGCCAGTCTAGCGGACGAACTCCGCGCCTCTTCGCAGAAGTGTTTCTTATAAAATATTGGTGCTAAGCCTGGCCAGTGTGGCTCAGTTATTTGGAGAATTCTCCCATGAACCCAAAGGGTGGGCAGGTTCCATTCTGAGTCAGGGCATGGGTGCATTCTGGAGGCAGCCAATCAATGGTGCCCTCTCACACTGATGTTTCCCTCTCTAAAAATCAACACAAGCAAAAAAAAATTTTTAATCCTAGATCACTGATACCTGTATATAAAATTCTACCCACAAAAACCAGGTAATACTTTCAACAATCTATATATAAAGTAAAAATAAGGTCCAGCTGGTTTAGCTCAATGGATAGAGCTTCAGCCTGTGGATTGAAGGATTCTGGGTTCAATTCAGTTAAAAACACATGCCTCGGTTGGGGGCTGGATCCAGAGTAGAGTGTGCAGGAGGCAGCCAATCAATGATTCTCTCTCATCACTGATGTTTCTATCCCTCTCCCTCTTCCTTCCCTCTGACATCTATAGAAATATATTAAAAAATAAAGTAACAATAAAATTATAATTTAAAAAATTCTACCTACTGCCTATCAGTCACAGGAAGAAAATGAACCAAAATGACAGTTCATCCTTCCTAATCTCTTAAAACACGGATGGCAAGAGGTGTGGGATCACATCCGACATAGAAGTAAGGCTTTAGCACCTCAGAAAATGTATCCCTGAAGGAATGGATGTGAGACATGTCATTCAAACTGTAAAAGGAAACGTGACCCATCTCCTAGTCCAGGTAGATGCCCATCCCTCTGGGCCTTTCCTGCAGCACAAGGGTGACAGGAACAGGCCCTCGAGCCACATAGTCACCGTCCTGCAGCTGAATCGTCCAACATCTGTCCTCCTGTCTGAGCAGGGGCTGCTTTCTCTCCTTGGAAAGGGAGTCTCTACAGACCCCCACGGCCCACCCAGGCTTGTCATCCACCTGGACCTCCCAGTAATGTCGGCCACAGTCAAACCCTTCAGAGCCCAGGACAACTGCGTTCGTGGCAAATCCCTTTGGATTCCGATGAACTCTTGCTTTTTCCTCACAAATGTCACAGACTTTTTATCCTCAGACACAAGCAGATGAGGATGTGCAGTTTCGGGATCCAGAGTAACTTCTTCTCTAAATGTCTGCATGATTTGCAGCAGGGCCGAACACTGTGGAGGAAGACTGAATTCTTCTCTCTTATACTCCAAGCAATAGACATCTGGAGGTTCTAGGTGATCACAACGGCGGAGGACACCCTTGATGTTCATCAGCAGTTTCACATCTGACACCACACTCGTCTCTGCCATCTCCTTTCGTAGAACTCTAAGTTTGGAAATGTGGTCTGAAAATGCAGCTTTGTTTGCAGTGAGATTCCGTAGAATGTGCTGCTCTCGTGCAGCTAGCCTTGAGAGAACTGCCGCTTGCTCACACTCTATGGATGCTATCACACTCCCATATTCAGAGGCTAACTTCGCTCTCCGCTTTTCCACCTTTTCTCTCAGTTCTGATCGTTGCCTGTCTTGAGTGGCTAATAGTTTCTGAAGGTCTGCCAGCTGCTCCTTCAGGGGCTCAATGTAACTCCTGAGCTTCTGCCTGTGATGAGAGGCAGCCTCCTCCACGGGCCTCACGTGGTGGCCCTGGTGGTCAGGGGGCTGAGTGCACAGGGGACACAACAACTTTATTTATTTTTTTTTAAATATATTTTAATGATTTTTTACAGAGAGGAAGGGAGAGAGATAGAGAGCTAGAGACATTGATGAGAGAGAAACATGGATCACCTGCCTCCTGCACATCCCCCACTGGGGATGTGCCCGCAACCCAGGTACATGCCCTTGACTGGAACCGAACCCGGGACCCTTCAGTCCGCAGGCTGACGCTCTATCCACTGAGCCAAACCGGTTTTGGCCGACACAACAACTTTAGATCCTCCTCGCAGAAGAGGGTCAGGGCCTGGTTGTGCTTCTCACACAAGCACCTCTCTTCCTGCTGCTTCATCTCGGCCCCGGTGTTCTGGAGGAGCTTGGCCATGTCAACCATCCTTCCCAGCTGGGTGTTGCTCCACAGGTGCCTCTCTTTGCATGGGTGACGGCACACAGGGCAAGGGAACCTGTCCTGCACATCAGCCCAGGAGTGCTCGATGCAGGAGCGACAGAAGTTGTGCCCACATTCGATGGTGACAGGGTCTCCCAGGTTATCCAGGCAGATGGGACAGTTGATTTCTGTCTGGAGATTTGCCACAGCTCCTTCACCTGCCATTTCTATTGTCAATTAAGGTCAGCCCCTGGTGTCCTGTGAGGTCCTTAACTACAGAGGTAGGTGCCCAGAGGAGCTCCACTGCCCACCTCCAGACAATCAAAGTAGTTGGAGGACTACTGTCCTTGGCAGCTCAGAGGATATGAATCCAAGTTCAGCAATTCTCTTGGTCAGAGAGCAACAATGACTCTTAAGTACCGATTGGTTCCAGGAGCAGATGGCTCTTGTCGGGTTCGTAGCGCCCAAAGCGAAAGGAGAACCTCCCACAAGGCTTTCTCTAGACAGTCTGGCACAGGACTGCAGGAGCCATGACCTGACCCTGGTATATATACACCATTAGAAGGACCCAGTTATTAACCACGCCCACCAAAGTCCAGTGGCTCCTCCCCCAGGGGGGAGGGATGAACCAGAGTAAAAGGATTTTCAGTGCTTTCCTGAAGCCAAGGAGGATTAACTGTTAATAGGCATGATCTAATTTGCCCCTGGTATTATCTCTTGATCTTGTCAACACCATTTGTTCATTTACTTATTTTTTTAAAATATATTTTTATTGATTTCAGAGAGGTAGGCAGAGGGAGAGAGACATAGAAACATCAATGATGAGAGAGAATCATTGATTTGCTGCCTCCTGCACGCCCCCCATTGGGGATGGAGCCCACAACCCTGATGTTGGCCCTGACGGGAATCCAAGCAGTGACCTCTTAGTTCATAGGTCTACACTTAACCGCTGAGCCATGCGGGCATTTATTTATTTGTTTTTAAATCTCTAGGGTTGAGCCCTATCGGGTTTGGTTCAGTGAGCGGGGGCCGAGGTCATGCGGAGAGGTCACTGTTATCAAAACGCTCCTGGTCGTACACTTTAGCCACCACCTTGCGGCCAACGAACCAGCGCCCATTGAGGACCTGGATGGCCTTGTGAGTCTCGGAGGCCATGGAGAACTCCCCGAAGATCTTGACGATGATCTTGGCGTCCTCCTCCTTGCCCTGCTTCTCCTGGTCGATGATGACGCGGTTGACGGCCCCGAACTTGCCGCACTCCTCGGTCACCTCCCCCTCCAGGTCGTCGTCGATGTCCTTGGGGTCCACCATGTTGCGCAGAACCATCACCGTGGACAGCAGCAGACGGCTCTTCTCTGTTCTGAAACGCCAAAAGGGAAAGCTGAATCTCCCACAAGGATCTCTCTACACAGCGCGGCACAGGACTCAAAAGTGAGTTTTAGGACAGTTTCACCCATTAATTTTACTTACATTTTCTTTTTCTTTTTCTGATGTATGCCCAAGAGAGATAAATTTGATAAAAATCAAGAGATCTTTCAATACATTTAAATATCCTTAGTAATAAGAAAGCAATGTGTCATAGTTTAATTAGCAGTTTCTGTTCTTTCCTTGTGGTCTATGCAATAATGATAGTCTTAGAATCAGTGGCATCTTAGATGAGATAAAATACAAAAGAGTTTCTCTAATCTTTTAGAATTATCCTTTGGTTCCTGATAAATGAATGAGATATCTAAATTCCTTCTCAGTGGACTTGGATCCTCACCTGGAAAGAAACCAGAACTAGATGGAGTCAGAGAGATCAAGCCTTTCACTCTGTTACTACAAAGTGCTCCTCACTTTCCCCAAATATTCCAATTTTGGAACATTGTTTCAAGTCTTCTGGAAACTCTACTCTTGGCCTATAGTTCTCAGCAAGACCTGAATAAAATTCTTTCTAAAAATTTCAAAGATTCAAGTTCTTTTTGTTGACAGAGTAAATTTAAGGAAAATTTCCATAAACTGCTATATAGCTCATCTTCAGCTACCATCTCATTTGTCAGAACTTAATCAATGATCAAATAGCAACATGGTAGGCTGGGAAATGTAGTCTTTATTCCAGGTATTTATTTGCCAGCTGATAACTGGAGATTTTAATTAGGAGAAAACAGATAATGGAAAGACAATCAGCAACTGTCATCAAGACAATTCTGGCCCGGTTGGAGTGGCTCAGTTGGTTGAGTGTCATCCCATGAACCGAAAGGTCACTGGTTTGATTCCTGGGCAGGGCACATGTCAGGAGTTTCGGGCTCAATCCCCAGTAAGGGGCATGCAGGAGACAGCTGATCAATGATTCTCTCTCATCATTGATGTTTGTATCTCTCCCTCCTTCTCCTTACCTCTTTCTAAAAATCAATAATAATAATAATAATAATAATAATAAAATATAATAATATAATAATAATATAATAATAAAAATATAATAATAATATAATAAAATAATAATAATAAAAAAAGACACAGTCCTGGATTTCTAGGCAGAAAAGGGAAGGGAATACCTGTAGGAATGTATAACATAATTCACACTGGGCAAAGCGCTCCAGAGATGGGGGCTCTGGGCTGACACTCTAACCACTGAGCTAAGCCAGTTAGGGCTGAACTGAATTTTTTTTAAAAAATATATTTTCGTTGACTTCAGAGAGGAAGGGAGAGGGAGAGAGAGACAGAAACATCAGTGATGAGAGAGAATCATTGATCGGCTGCCCTCTGCAGGACCTTCACTGGGGACCGAGCCCACAACCTGGGCACATGCCCCAACCAGGAATCAAACCAGCGACCTCCCGGTTCCCAGGTCGATGCTCAACCCCTGAGCCACACCCGGCTGGGCTGAACTGAATTTTTAAGGAAGAGTCGAACTTATTTAAGGCAAAGGGTGTGGTGGTGGTGGCGTGATGGTGGTGAGGGAGTTTCTAGATGGGAAGTAGTGCATTTCCAGAGGCTTGAAAGAGCAAAGAAATTACTAGCACTTCAGTGTGTCTGCAACACATATTTAGAGATCAGGAATATCAAAAGATGAAGTTGGAAAAGTTAGCAGGGGTCAGGTCATGCTACGTCTTCTCTACTCTACATAATGATTACTTAAATGATAAAATATTTTTAAAAATTTCTTCCTATTTAAGTTCTCACTTAAATGGGTTTGTGAAACTCCTAAACATTGATATTTAAGGAAATCAGTTATATTTGTAGAGCATCTTATTTTTCACAGCACAATCATAAATAGTGCTCAATTCTTCTAAGATGACCAGTCTTCTCAGATTCTAGCAACAATTCAACTAGGTAAAAATGCACCTTATTCACCTGCTTACAAGATTCATAAAGATTCACTCCTGCCCCTCTCCTCTGCAAAAGTGTAAAAATCTCCCTGTGTACAATGCATCCATATTAGAGATAAAAAGCCAAAGGCTTAAGCAGGGGTCCTCAAACTACGGCCCGCGGGCCACATGCGGCCCGCAGAAACCATTTATCCGGCCCGCCGGGTGTTTTTGCCGCTGCTGCCTGTCCTGCTTAGCAGCCGACTCGTCCCGGGCCTGCAGTGCACATGTGTGGAATGTCTGAGGGACAGTGAACTGGCCCCCTGTTTAAAAAGTTTGAGGACCTCTGGCTTAAGGGGCGAGTTCAGTAGCTCAGATTCGGAGGTGTAGTCACCAAGAATACAGTAATTTGATGTTGCCACTAGCAGAGAAAGACATCACAGAAAATATATGAACTTTTCATCCTATAAGTAGTATTCTTACTTAAAACAAACAAAAATAATAAATCAGAGGCCTTAGAAATGATCAGGGGTAGAGTCTAACTCTGCGATAAAGGCTGTTTGAAAAAATGGCTATGATAAATTTTCTAATATCTCTTTGCAACGTGATTTTTCTGTTCCTTTCATCAAAAAATGGAATTTATTTCCCTAGGCCTTGAATCTTTGCTGACCTTGTGACTGTGTGTAACATTCAAGGCTGGGCCTGAGATTGCTGTGAAAGTCAGTTTAGGCTTATGGAGGTTGAAAGGTTATAGTGGGGAGGGGGGAACCAAGGCATCCCAGCTAGCATCAACTGACAGCCATGAGCCCATCTAGGACCTTCTACCCTAGGTTACCACCTCCAGATGAATGCAGCTGCGTGAATGAGCCCAACTGAAACCAGCAGAGGAACTCTCCACCCAATCCACAGAGCAAAAGAAATAATAGATCGTTGTTCTTTTAAGCCACTTGGTTTCAGAGTGGTTTGTTACGTAGAAATAGGTAAATAAAATAGGTTCATTCCCTCAATATTAAAAATACATCACCACTATAGCTTATGACTCAAAACAATGAAGGAATTCCTATTACATCAATTTCAGGCTTAGTGTAATAGACTCAAAAAATGAACTGGTAATAGGGAATCAGGACTTTCATTGCTGTCTGCTGAAAAAATATTGTTAGATATCTGTAAGAAAACTAGAGGAAATATTGAAAAACATGGCATTAGACCCCTCAAACAAACACATTTCTCACTTGGGAAATTCAATACAGTATTTAAAACATATAGAGAGTTTACTGATAAAGAACTGATAACAACAGATATATCAAAGATTAGCATTGTGGCACTCTAGATTTATGAGTAGAAATTCCAGGTACTTCTGTAGGTAAGAATAAGAATGACTCAAAAGATGCCCCCTGACACTTGAAGATACAATCCTTGGGTTCTGTGGTGTGCTAGTCCAAGGTGGCCCCTAGTGATTCTCACTTCCTGGTATTCACTCTCTTGGGAAATATTCTCCCACACTAAATTATGGCTGGTCTGTGTATCCAATAAAATATGGCAGAAATGATGGTGTGAGACTTCTGAGGCTGGCTTATAAAAGACATTGCAGCTTCCACCTTGGTCTTTCTCTTGGATCACCTGCTCCCAGGGAAGCCAGCTGTTATGTCTTGAGGACACTGATGCAGCACAATGGAGAGGACCATACAGTGAGGAGCTGAGGCCCCCAGCCAAACACCAGGATCAACTTGCCATCTTGGAAATTCTTTCAGTCTCAGTCAAGCCTTCAGATGACTGTAGTCCTGGATGACATTTCTTTTTTAGATAGCTTTAATGAGGTTATAGTTTATTTACCATAAAATTCACTAAGTACAATTCAATGATTTCTAGTAAATTTAGAGAGCTGTGCAGCCATGACCACCATCTAATTTTAGAATATTTCCATTGTGCCCAAAGAAA